TAAAAATCAGAAAAAAAATCCAAATCCTGATAGTCTGCAAACCAGTTCTATATTGCGCAGCAACTATCATTTTCACGAGACATCGAGAAACATCGAGAGATACGTTTTACGATTAAAATAATGAGAGCGCGATGTTAACGGAGAAGTAAAAGAATGAAAACAATTTTCGGATGAATACCATTTCTCTCCTGAGCACTGCCAGTTGGGTATCCAAGGTAGTAAGTTGTCTGGCAGGTGGAGACGGCCTCGATGACGATGTTTGCAGCGACGTTTTGCTGCCTCTTTGGGATTTACTGGACGACCTCGTGGGCGGTGGAGGCGGCTCACCGCTCTCGCCGCGACCGCTCAGGTTGAAGCCGCTCAAGCTTCTCGGTAACGGGGGTAATCCTTGCAGGGAAGACATCGCAATCCTTTCTTGAATACTAGAGCATACAAGTGCGAGGTTTTTAGATAATTTATATTCTGTATATACAATGGAATGATATATTTTCAGCACATTTCAATAAACAGGACAACGCAAAGTGTTTTCAATGATAAAAGGTACACTTAGTGACAGAAATATCATTCTTGGCATCCAGTGAGTGACAAAGAACGGTACTTATGTTACCAAATGAAAAAACACCCAAAGTTAAGAAGCTAATGTTTAACTTACTAGACGTTAATTATTAATATTTAATATAACAGTATAGTTGTCGCATATAGATATTCTGGTTATTTTTGCCAAACAAGATATTTTAGTTGTAAAAATATCGGAGATGTAAGGTAAAAAGAACATTATAGTAAACTTATTCAAGTGATTATTACAGTAAAGTAAAGCTCATGATACATTTTTAAGATTGTAAGCACGATCAGTTCTCAAAATTTACTTTATGAAATGTAAAAAGTATAATACAATATATGGCTATACGACAATCATTTATCAGAAAAATAAAGTAAATTTTACGTCAGTAAGCGCTTATTCCTATATAGACCTGTCGATAAAATATACTAAAATTCTGAGTACACATTACTTCGACTTCTCCGCGAATGAAGGGGATGAAATTAATAATTTCACGATACTCGGGGGAACTTCTGCGAGTCGTACGGTCTTCTTGTAAACTGTCACAGGCGGAGTACGATGGAAGCCACAGAAAATGGGAATACCGTTACACGATCATCTTATGGAATAAAAATCGATCTGTCTTTATGAGTGTCGGTTGCCCATAAGAAGACGGGGGATTTGGCGGGAATGACTCACATCGCGGTTATTATCATCGCATGCACATCGCGGAAGTGTGCGATCGTTCAATCGTTCTTATCGATATCCGTTTGACTCGGCTCCGCTTACTCATCTCATCTTATTTTCCGCATGCTGAGATGAGATCGATTCGATACGCCAAGTGCAGCGATATCGGTTCGATAGCAATTATAGATAGCGTTATCAGTTTAAAAAGTCGATGCTCTTAATAACAAACTCCTCATCAATTTGTAGTTAGGACTGCCACAAATTCTTCGTAAAATTTCATATAATTTTCCTTGATTTCCAGACAAAATTTCATAATTTCTCATGACTTTCAATAATACTTCGAAATTTTCTGTATTTTCTTCCTGAAAACCGTTAAATATTTTTGGGAGAAACAATTTAACATAACAATGTAAATTAATGTTGCTGACACTGCTTGCATTTAATTGTTGGTAGTATTTCGAAACTACATAAGCGTATATTTGTATGCATATCAAACTTCATTAAAACCAAGATTAATTTTTTATAAAATTTTGCAAAATTCCCCGATTCTCCTCTAATCTCCCCGACTATTTTCAATTTCCCTAACATTTCCCTAATTTCCTTGATTTCTAGTTGCGTAGTAATCAGTTATGTAACGCGAGGAAAGAATATTCATGCAGTCTCTATTTATATTTTTTATGTAACATTCGTTAAATTATTCGTTTCATTTATATAACTGCACAATCCGCATAATATTACACATTCATGTGCGCATAAACGCTATACACAGCAATACTCGAAAGATTAATGTAACTTGTAAATTTTTCAGGATTTTATATCTGCGCTAATTAGAGACAAATTAAGGTTCCAGGATTGAACTGAGGATAAAATAAAAAAGGAGCGCAAGCGTTTTTTGAACGTTAGTTTGACGCTAACGAGAGGTTGGTTTTACGGTTGGCTGAGACGGCATTTATCGCGAGAAAGCGGTGCATTCATATTCACCGGATAGTTGAAATTAGATCAATGCGCGTAATACAGTGAATGACCCTGCAACTATCGCGACTTCTCGATAATTATTACATCGTTAGCGTTGATGTGCAGTAACGTCGCGCCTTGCGACAACGTTACGTCATAGAACACTTAAGCAATGTATTCACACGACAATATTTTCCTCAAATATTATTGTGTACTCTAAAAGTGTGCTGTATTCTAAAAATAAGAGCACCAAAATTCACTTTAAGAAAATTATTGTACATTTTAAACACACTCAAAAATTAAAAATATTCAAATTGTCAATTTAAATTAGGAAATCAGTGCTTCTTATCTTGCAACTTCTTAATTATTATTGTTATCCACAAAGAAATATTAAAACATCAGATGTAAAGAATGTAAAAAATGATTTTTCGAAAATTAAAGCAATGTTATCCCCTAAAAACAATTATCACATTTAATTATGGAAAAAAAATGTCTTTCTTGATTTTCAAAGCAAATAAAAACTAAAATCAAAGCTTTAAGTTTCTCATTATACGATCAATCTCTTAATTTTAAAGCGATTCCTAGACAATTAATATTATTTTACAATATTGGATATCGCATAATATTATGTATTGCCTGGAAATTATATTGAACCTCCAGCATGTTTGCTTTGAATTGTTTAAGAGACATATCAATAATATTGTGCAAAATAATTATACAATAATTACAATAATGAGCGTCTAAGGAGCCATTTAAAAGCCACTTATAAATAATTTATTTCATCAATGAGAAACTTTCAAATTCTTCGCCCCGAATGGATAACAGTCTCATTCGTATTGCAATCTAGTTCCATCCACTTTTATAATTTTAATTTCCAGTAGAGACAATTGCCAGTAAAGTCTCCGGCGGTTTCATTTCATTTTAATACCTGATAAAATCAAGATCAGTTATTCTCTCCTCTTCGCGATGATCATAACCATTGACTCGACCCACGTCGACGGTGTCGGTGTCGTCGTCGCCGTCATCTCCATGCAAAGTAATCTGCGTGGAAGAGTAACGAACCCCCGCCTCCAGCCAGTCCTGCCGGTGGATATTGTTGTCGCTATCGTTGTCGTTACTGTCCTCTTGGTCGCTGGGCGGAATTTTACGCTCTGATTCGTCGACGACGAGCAACGTAGTGGCAGCGCGGTCAACGCTCGGGATATTCGTCGATTTCTCAATAGGAGACAGAGTCTTGACACCTCCGTTACCGAGCTTTCCACTGGCCACGAACGTTTCCTGCTGTTGTTGCGATTGTTGCTCATCAGGACACGATCGACACGTGGGCGTCGACCGGGCGTTGCGCCCGTCTGCTCTCTCCGAATCGCCGTTGCATTTTTCCGCGTGACTCACTGTGACTCGCCCTCGAGCGGAGTCCGGAGTAGAGGACGATGCACGACGCTCGTCTTCGAAGGACACGTTGACAGCTCGGATAGCCACCGGTGGCTTCGTCGTCGTCGTCGTCGTCGTCGTCGTCGTTGTCGTCGTCGATGCCGTTTCGAATTTCTCAGTCGAGGTGACGACACTATTCTCTCTTTGCTGATGATCTTTATCAGGTAACTTCTTCCATCGGTCACGATGATATGGTAGAGCACCGGCTAGGTCTTTCCCGCGGGAGTTTCTTCGGATCTCCAGCCTACGTTGCGGCCGTTGATCCTCGGTCAGGCTGTTGCGCTTCCGCACGATATTCACTGGAACGTTCCCCGTGGGATAAGGCTTTTCCGAACCGATACCAGGTCTGTGATGTTGATCGTGAGTCGAGGTAACTTTGTTTCCATCCTCCGACCGGTTATCCTCAACAATTGTGTCTGTATTTCGCGTCTGGTTGCGATCTCGTGGATTTCTGTCGTTGGACACATTCTCGCCCTTGCAATCCTTCATGCACTCTTTGAGGGATTCGTATACAGTTGTACGTCCACCCGTTGGGTCCGCTTGTTGCTGTTGCTGTTGTTGTTGCTGCTGCTGCTGCTGCTGCTGCATTTGTTGCTGATCGGATCTCCAGGGCTTCGTGTTTGGCGGCGGTGGTGCCTGCCTAGTGGGACAGGGCGGCCTTGGCGATCTCTTAAGGGCCTCGGCAACCACCTGCCGACTCGGTCGAGGTGGCACCGGAGGCGGATGAGGCCTTTGACTGGTTGCCAGCTGCATTCCGCTCGTCTTTCGAACCTTTTAACCTTCAAAGCGATTGCTCATCCTCTGTGACGACACACTTATACGTATGCAAAAAACGAATTTTACTTTTCGAGCCAACCAACTGCACAATCTCGACTCGTGATTACGTCAATACCCGTAAAAATGTCTACGCTATTACCGCTATTACTAAACACGGTACTAAATGTCAGCGGTAACACGAGGTACCTTCACCTCGCGCGTAAACGACAAAGATTGCGCTTCGTTCAAAATTCTCTCAAGATAAGAAGCGACGTTTATCATCGGCCTTATCGCGTGCGTGTCTGTTATAAGCCAACGGAATCGAGGAACGCCGATAAATAACTCGGCGAGCGAGGCATATTTTGTGAGCCTGGCAAATTTCTCGCGTCAGCGGTATTTCATCACCCGCAAAATTCTTCGGATAAGAAGTTCGTTTGCAATTTTAACGCGACGTATTGTCAGCCGCAGACGAATATAACAGCCGTTGGATATCTTTGTGCAAAAATCTATTGCAGCCCGGAGGTATGACTCGCGAGGCGTGCGTTTCTTGGAATTATCTTATTCCCTTAAAACGCACGGACGGGCATGCTTTAAATGCCGATCGGAGATGACGGGAATGTTGTGCAACGTCGCCACATGATTCCACACACTGTTGCGCCAGCGAAATCACCGCAATCTCGCCGCGCGTACCCTCGATTCGCCGCGTTTCCTTCTCTTTCGCCTCTTCTCTTTCGTTCCTCCCCTCGAGTCCTCCGCTTCGTCCTCTTTATTCGTAAGCGGGTCGCGATCGCGTCGATGCCTCGCGATATCGCCGACGCGATTTTGCATACAATTCTGCGGGAGCCACGAAAACGTACCTTCGTTCGCTCGCTATAATAGCTTCATGCGCGGTGTCTTCAATTTCTCAAACACCTCTTCGTTCCGCGATCGCGACGAGCGGAATCGACCTGCGATTTCGCACACAATCGCGGGAATCACGTCGCAAAATATTCCTCGTGCACATCAATTAAAAGCGTCAAGAAGCCACTTCCGATTCTCAACACAGGGACTTACTTCGCGCGCATTTCGCGCCCTCCCCTTTCTTTCTTTCTCTCTCTCTTTCTCTCTCTCTTTCTCTCTTCAGCTTGTCATTGAAGCTGATCTTCAAGATGACGTTACGGCCTCGATAGTCGCCTTTCTATCTCGATCGCTCGAGCTTTCCTTCCATGAAGAGTGTACGAGCAGACCCGGCGAATCCGCTTCTTTGTGAACGAACGAGGCAACCTGACTTGCCGCCTTTTGTACGTAAACTTTCTATCGCATGCCGCGATTCACGGTGCGCACCAAACATTCAATGGTCCTAACAAAGGACTTCTTTTCTACCTTTTTTCTCGCGCGTAACAAAATTTATCTTTAACAAATTCGGCAATTAAATTTCTTTATGTAAAACTTCTTTATTCTTCCTTTATTATAGGACAGAGGAAGGAATGGTACAATTTCGTTGGAAGAATTTAATTTAATTTAATTTAATTTATGTATTGTTATTTCGAATGAAAGAAAATCATCTTCTTTGACTCGAGCCACTTCGTCTTCGCGTCATCCGCGCGTCCTCAGCAGTCACTTCCGAGTCTCGCTTGACGTCACATCGCGTCTTCCACGTTTCAGTGCACTGAAATCCACACTTTCTAACGCACTAACAAATTGGCAATACCTTCTCCTTTTGCTACAATTAAAACACTATTGATTCCTACGTCATGACCGCATCAATGGTGTCTCCTTTCATCGACTTAGCCTTTCAAGACTTCTCTCGCTCTCGTGATGATAGGAAACCAATCCCGAGAAACACTTAAAAACTTTGATTCGGTGAACCACGAGGAATAAGCCAAAACGATCGCGCAACGAATGCCTTTGGACAGGTAGAGTTAGAACAGCGACGATCCCGAGACCCCAGGCGGTATCCCCGATCCAGTATCTCCTCCTCCGTTCGGTCCTTTCCCTTCTCTTCCACCCGATAGCGTCTCTATCCTCTCTTTCTCAACGGACCGACCGCCACGGACTGACTTTGCGGTCCCACAAACATCCTTCGCGATCGGTGGCCACGTGACTGGCCGAGCTCGAGTTCTTGTCAGGTAGTCAACGAGTGTGCGGCTTATGCATGTATGAGTATGTATGTGTGAGCGAACAAGCGAGTGGGTGAGCGAAGGAATGAGCGTGCGAACAAGCGAAAGAGCGAATGAACGAGTGAGTAAGCGTGCCTAGGTGTGTTTGTTGTGTGTGTGTGTGTGTGTGTGTGTGTGTGTGTGTGTGTGTGTGTGTGTGTGTGTGTGTGAAGAGGCACAGAAGGGAGACACAGGCGAATGCAAAGAGGACCTGCGGTTGATGGTGATGGTAAAGGTTCACCACGGCGGTCTCGTGACGATCTCAACACTGTTGATCACGATGATGTGTGAGTTCTTGACCTGGTAGGAAAAACTCTTGGATCGCTCGACACGTTACGTAAAATCGCCAGATCTTAGGAGGGGGAGAGGGAAATGCGGTTGCCGTTCTAAACTTTACGGAAAGTCGTGGTCACACTTTCTAGCGTCGTCAAGGCGCTATAGTTTTCTTCTCGGGGATGCTGTTTCTTTCAATGAGATTTTCACAGTGCATTACGATCTCTCGGTCATCTACGCTATAATCATTCGAAATATGAAAAATGAGAAAGTATTAATTTCAAAAGGCAGTTTAAAGTTAGTTTAAATAAGTAACAAGAGCCAACAACACAGGTATTTCTTCAAAGTCTGATTTACAAGTATTCCGAAATATTGTAAATCTTTATCCACACTGAAGATGGTTCCAGTGCGAAACGTTTGGATCTGAACGTGTGAATCTTGATGTTGTAATTTTATCAACATTAATTTTAATTTTGTGCACTGCAGCTTGATTTATTGCCTTGTTATTACTTATTTAAATTTTAATTCTCCGAGCCTTCAAAACTTGGTTATCAATTTAATTTCGTTATCGTATAAAATTATATTATTGTAGATTTTATCGTCATATTACATCGTTGACGTAATGTATTTTCACAGGATTCGCTCGAATGGATTCAATTATGTACCAGCGCGTTTTAATTACACACACACGCACTCGCCCGAGATTGTTCAAATTTATGTAAGTCGATTTCGCTGTGCTTCCACAGAGTTACGAGCACTACACTTCACGGAACACATCACATATCGTTTCGTTTCTTTACGTCATATATCTATCGCAGGTGTAACAGTTAATTACCCGCGAATGTGCGTTCATTTCGCAATACGCATTATTCGCATCGACGCGAACGCAACGGCGATCTGCGATAAGCATGAACTTTCTAGAATTCGTGAGGCATAAAATGTCTTATCGATCATATCAGTTTCCGTGCTTTGCCGGAGCATCGTTATAATTTCTCACAAAAGAGATAAACGAAGTAAAGAATGCACGTAAAAGATCGCATAAACGATTCCGTAGGAACGCGATGGAAAGATATAAGGACTCGAATGAATTTTTTAATATTAGTTGTATGAATAAAACAGACTAGAAGTCACGAATTAAAAGAACTGGAAACTATAAATTTAAAAAACTAGGAGTCTCTCATAAATTAAAGACTATAAGACTCAAGAAAGGACTAGAAATCATAATTTAAAAGGATTAGGAGTTAAATTAAAAGAACTAGAAATTATGAATAATAAAAGACTTGGGAATCACGGAATTAAAAGGATTGGGAATCATGAATGAAAAGGACTAGGTTTCATGAATTAAAAGAACTAGAACTCATGATTTAAAAGGACTAGGAGGATTAGGAGTTACAAATTAAAAGGACTAGAGGGTAATTATGAAACGAGACTGGACTCGGAGCCAACCATCTCGGGGTCCATCTACTTCCATCATTGGGCGTAGGTGTATACCGCGACCGGTGGTATCGCGTGAGAGAGTAACCCAGACGGTGGCAGACGAGGAGAAACGAGACGGAAGAGGGAAGAGAAAGGAAAGGACTATTAAAGGAAGAGGCGAACGAAGCGAGATGGAGAAAAGGGAAGGGACCTATTAGGTCCCCTCCGTCTCGCCACATTCTCTGCAATAGCACGGAGGTCTGTTCACCAGTGCCGTAGCACTTGTGCGACATTCAGACTTCCCCCGTTTTTCTTTCTCCTCTCTGTTTCAAAGATTGCGGGAAGAAGAGCTCCAGGGGAGCGTGATTACTCTTAACTCGCGCAATTCGTCTTAACGAAGCGATTTCTCTCCTTTAAGTCACGCTCTCGAGTCTCTACGATTGACGCGATTTTACAAGGTCTTGAAACCAACTTTTTGATTATTTTTTTCTTCAACTTGGGCTACATGCGAAGATATACACCTCATTCAAGACAATCGGTCACGTTTCTAGACTCGGTATATCGGGAGAGATGGCACATCTCTCGAATGTTTCACAAGTGTTTTCTGTCACTCAACTGAAACGGAATGACGAAGATAAGATACCAGCGGTATCCCGCAGTCTCACGTGCTCCGTGGAATGAAGTAACCGCTGATGATACGCGTTATCGGCTTGCGATCACCACGCGCATCGCTCGCCCATTCACGGCGCAATTAAGCTCGAGGAGGAAGTGGCACGACCGGCCGGCTGAGAAAACGCAGGCCGCGGAATTTATTCACACTCTGTTTCGCTCTGGCTCAGACAAAAACGACTCGTTCCACTTTTGCGACCGATCTCCCGCCGATAAAATGCAAATCGGCTCCACCTCTCCCTCCCGCCCGCGCAATCCGGCCGGCTCCTTGATAGATCGAAATCGGATCGTACGTATCACGAAGACGTTCCTGTCCGTCCGGCTGTTACCGTATAACGTGGCCGTCAAAACAAAATTCGATTACTGGGTCACGGGGTTTCGTGAAGTGCGCGTTCGAGACGCGGACTTCGAATGCCAATGTCAAACGTGAGTCCGTCTGCGACTCTATTATGCGTTTCTACAAACAGGATTGTCATAAATTCCTCATATTCCATAATTTTTCCCTCATTTTTAAGCAAAATGTCACGATTTTCCTGAATACTCTTAATAATATTTTGAATTTTTTTGTATTTTCATCCCGATTTGGAAACTGCCAAATATTTTGCTGAGAGAGCAATTTAACATAACAATGTTAATTACTGTTTATGTCGCTAATACTGCTTGCGTTTGATCGTTAAGTTAGTAATATCCAAAAATTGCCGAAGGCAAGGTGATGTAT